GATATCTCCAAGCTTAAGAAAAGATATCTCCGCCGGGCGGTGGTGGTGCACGCCTTTAATCCCAGCACTTGGGAGACAGAGGCAGGCGGATCTCTGTGAGTTCGAGGCTGGGCTGGACCGACAGCCTCGAAAACAATACAGAGAAACCCTGTCTCGAAAAACCAAAAAAAAAGAAAAGAAAAGAAAAGATATCTCCAAGCTTAATGTGTGAGGAGAAGTTGGGAAATCGGAGCTCTGTTGTAGTACTGTTGCAAGCTGTGTTTGAGAGCAGAGAGAAAGGTCTAGAAGGATGTTAGAGCTATGAGAGGCACATAGCACTCACCAAGCACTGACAAGTAACATCTCCACATCTTCTGAATGCCACAGAGCAGACACAGCCAGGAAGCCGCTGACAGAGATCTGTCCCTTTCCCGCAGTGGCTAGCCCAAGCCCTTGCTAGTTCGTTAGATACTAGGACACACTGGAGTCATGGTCATGATCAAAACTGGAATCCAGGACTCTTAAATCCTCAGTTTGACAAGTTTTTCTTTAGTTAAAATTCTAAGTCTCGACCAGGCAGTGGTGGCCCACGTATTTAATCCCAGCACTCGGGAGGCACAGGGAGGAGTTCGAGGGCAGCCTGGTCTACAGAATGAGTTCCAGGACAGCCTTCAAAGCCACAGACAGAGAAACCCTGTCTCGAAAAAAAAAAAAAAAAAAAAAAAAAAAAAAGAGGCCGGGCCTGACCAGGGAGCTACAGGGATTCAGGTCACCAGGGGGCGCTGTATCCTTTCTAGTCCAGTGCTTGTAACAACCCTGTGTATGTTCTGGGGAAGATCCCTACAAAGCACCTAGTCCCAAGCCTTTGTGTGGAGTAAGAAAGCGACCTGGGGGTCTTTCCTGTCTGCTGGAATACAACCAGGAGCCACCAGCCTGCCAGGTCCTCCTTCGTTCATCTCTTGTTTCACTTTTACAAACCTTCCTTTCTTCTGTCCAGTCAACTCCAAGCAGGGACTGTGGACTTGACAGACGATCTCAGATCTCACGAGACAATGAAGACACAATGTGTCAGTGTGGAAAGTGCTAGGGGGGAAATAAAGTAGGTGAAGGGACTAGGGTGTGGCACAGTGTGGCATCAGGGGAGGAGACTGCTGTTTTAACTGTTTTGGTGTTGTGTTCTCCCTCCAAGCATGCAAGTGCATGCACGCGCGCACGCGCGCGCACATACACACACACACACACACACAAAACAGGGTTTCTCTGTGTACGGGGATTAAGGTGTGTGCCATCACCTCGTGGCTAAATGTTTTAAATTTATTTATTTATTTATTTATTTATTTATTTTTGGTTTTTCGAGACAAGGTTTCTCTGTGGCTTTGGAGGCTGTCCTGGAACTCGCTCTGTAGACCAGGCTGGCCTCGAACTCACAGAGATCCGCCTACCTCTGCCTCCTGAGTGCCGGGATTAAAGGCCTGTGCCACCAATGCCCGGCTTAAATTTATTTGTATCACTTTATGTGTCTAAGTGCATGCATGTCTGTGCACCATGTATATGTCTGGTACATATGGAGGCCTGAACAGGGTGTCTGGGGTCACAGATGGTCGTGAGCTGCCATGTGGGTGCTGGGAATCAAACCTGGGTCCTTTGCAAGAGCAGTCAGTGCTGTTAACCCCTGAGGCATCTCTCCAGCTGGGACTGATAACTTAGAGAAGCCCCCCTGCAGGAGGCAGTATTCAAACAGAGAAAAAAATTAAAGTCTATTTAGATCCCCAGGGGAAAAAAAAGTGTTTTAAGCAAAAGGAATTGCAAAGTACAAAAAGGGCCTTAAGGCAAGAATGTGCTTGGAGGTGTAGAGAGAAGGCCAGGGAGGTGTAAATGGAATGTGCCGGCCACCAGAGGCTGGCCCGGTTTCAGTTCAGTCCTCTTTTCCCCAGTTTAGAGATTCAGGAAGCCGGGGAAGCTAAGCACAACTTCTTCCCCTCCTTTGTTTACATTTTATTTACTTATCTGTTTCGAAACAGGGTCTCCCCAAATTGCCCAGGCTGGCTTTGAACATGTAACCCTCCCCCTCAGATTCCCCAATAGTTGGGATGACACAGGGCTATGCCGGCAGGCCTAACACTTGACCCAGTTTCTTAGTCTTGCGTAGGTCCTAAGGATCTTAGTTTTATTTTAAACGTAGTGTGAGTCCACTGGAATGCTAAAAGATGAGGTGTGATCTCTGCTTTAAGAATATCACACAGAAGACTGCCTGAGCCTGGAGGAGGCCAGGATGGGAGCAGGATGACCAGCGGGGAGACTGTCAGGATGACCAGTGGGGAGACTGTCAGGATGACCAGCGGGGAGACTGTCAGGTGTTGAAGCCTAAGATGACAGCGGAACAGCAGCATTGATTAGCCGTGAAGACATCTTAAAGGTGGAATGTGCACCTTTAAGGTGCAGGTGACAGAAAAAAGACATGTAACTTCACAGGCTCTGCCGAGCCAATTAGGTGAATGACGTCATTGGCTGGGGCCAGGAAAGAGTTAGAAGAAAGCGCAGATTTGGAGTGGGATGTAGGGTTTGAGATACTTGCCTAGCAAACATCCAGACAAGGTATTAATTATTGACGTCTGAAGTTCCTGAGGGGGAAGCACGGGTTGGCCATTTTGGGTGTTACTGAAAGCCAAAGGATAATATGGGCTCTTAAGACGTGAGTGTAGGGATCAGAACACCCAGACAGGAGGTAGATGAGGAGATGTTGTGGGAAGAAAGCCTTAGAAGCCAGGGAGAACGGTGACTTTAGATGAGGAAGCTCCTGGGCTTGGTGGCATGGTCTCAGCTCTCAGGAGGTAAAGACCAGAAGCTCTGGGACCCATGCACACTCAACACCAGCCAGTCTACGTTGGGAGGTCTTTTTTTTTCTTTTTATTTTATGGTGTTTTGCCAACATGTAACTATGTGCACTACATGTGCGCCTGAAGAGGTCAGAAGAGGGCATTGGATCCTAAAAGAAGGAAAGCAATGAAGAAAGGGCGTGGCCAAGCTGGCCTTGACCTGCAAGCCTCAGCAGGACAGGATGAAACCTGAAGGCTGCAGCTGACTTGATGGAGGTCATGGAGACCTCGGGAAAACTGCAAGAGTACCATAGGAGACCCGGAATAACAAAGACAGCAGGCTGCTGAGGAGGATTTCTCCAACGATGACAACTCCCGTGGGAGTCTGAGTAGTCGGGACAATGGTGGGGAAGAGGGAACGTAAGGATGGTAGGAGGCAGGGAGGGGGTTTGTGCACCTCACCCTTCACTCAAACACTCAGGAGAATCAGCTCTGCCCATCACAGCTGGGCTCTGAGAACACCCCATGGCAGCTCCTTCCACCCCACCCTCACCGGAGGGAACTGTGTGCTCGGGAGAGGGTGTTAAGGGGATACAGTCCGTCCCAATAGTGGTGCTTGGTGGACGTCACAGAGCTGTGGACTGCTGCCTCTGTCTGGATGGACTCTGTCAGGCCCCGTGAGGAGCTAAGGGCCTCCTCCAAGTCTGTGGACTCTTACTGTTTATTTATTTATTTATTTATCTATTATTATTATTATTATTTTGGTTTTTCGAGACAGGGTTTCCCTGTGGCTTTGGAGGCTGTCCTGAAACTCGCTCGGTAGACCAGCCTGGTCTCGAACTCACAGTGATCCGCCTGCCTCTGCCTCCCGAGTGCTGGGATTAAAGGCGTGGGCCACCAACGCCCGGCCTTATTTATCTATTATTTATTTACTTACGTATTGGCTTCCAGATTGTTCTGCAAACCTAACTTTGGTTGGTTGGTTGGTTGGTTTTGGTTTGGGGGATTGAACCAGGGGTCTCTCACGAGTTAAGCAGGTTCTCTACCACTGAGCTTCAACCCCAGCCCCTGGAAAGCTATCTTGAAACTACCCTGTCTTGCTTCTCCGTCCCCTGGAATTTAGAAAATATGAAATCTCCGATGCTGCCGACCACGACCTCTTTGACCTCTACAGTGTCGGTAATATGATGCCATTTTCCCCTACGAGGGGAGAATAAGATGAGAGAAGACCACTAAAACCTGGGTGTTTTAAAAGGCTGCTTTTTCTTCCGCTTTGCCAGTGGGGGGCGCAAGGGGCTTGGGTGAGAGCCTAGAGCAGGGCGCAGGCTGGCAGCGATCAGGCTCGGGAGAGTAAGAGCCCGGGTAAACGCCCGATCCCTCCTTCCTTGTCCAGGAGACTCAGGGCTTATGGACTGGGTGGGGCCTAGCACCGACCCCGGGATGTCCACTCGCGTGGCCTGGGGAGGGCGTGGCCTAGGACTCCGCCCCCTACCGCGGGCTCAAATTGCGTGGCGTCCGCGGGGGCGGGGTCATAGTGCCGCGGCGGATCCCAGCGAGGCTCCTGGAGGCCGCCGAGCAGCGGCCCAGCCGGGCACTCAGGTACTGGCGGCCGCGGGGATTCCACGGGCTGCACCCGGTGGGCTCCTGTGGCCTGCTGCGGTGCCGGGGAGGGCGTGGGCGGTCGTGGCCTGTGCCAGATTCCCTCGGTTGGCTTCGGCCGCAGCCTCCGCCCCCGCCTTCCTGCGGCGGTGGGGCTGATTGGCGCCTGCGCCACCGTGTGCGGTGGGGACGCGGCCAAGCGCAGGGCTGGGGCGGGAGACGAGGGGAAACAGAGTCACGTTGGAAAGGGAGCTTCGTGCGTGGGTGGCACCACTTTCACTGGCTTCCAGAAAGGATCCCCTCCCTGGCCACGCGTTAGGGACATGACCCCCGCCACTCTCCATAGTGCCAGTGCCCGGGTTCTTCCCCACTTGCAGTGCCCAGGGGTCCCGCCCTGGCTTCCAGCAGCCTCGACCTGTCCCAAAATGGCTAGGACCCGCTGCAGCGGCCTCCTTCCTCACCCCTCCCCCTCAACATCCCGAGCCCCGAAAGTGCTCCCTCCACGGGTTCTCCAGTGTCAGCTTACACGCCTTATATAGTCCGAGCAGGCTCCAGCGGCCTGCTGGGACCCGGGGAAGGAGGGGGAGCTGGCCCCTGACTCACCCCGCCGCCCTCCTGAGATTCCAGGTTAGCTTGGGCGAAGCAGTGCCAATTAGCCCGACGGCCCACCCCTGGCAGAGAAAAGAAGTTGATGAGAACTCTGCTCACCCTCGCAGTGGCAGGGGCCGGGGTGGGGAGCTGACTTGTCAGTTGCCTGTGAGGTCTGCCTGCCCAGAGCCCCACCAAACCCGACAGGATCCACGTCTCCCAGTGCCTGTGGTGCCTGTGCTTTCTGGTACCTGGCTAACGCCAGTGACCAGATCTGGACCTGCCTGCCCTTTTGTAGGGCCGGGTGCGGCAACTCTCTCTTCTGCCCTCACAGGAGCAGGCACCATGGATTCCTTCAAGGTGGTGCTGGAAGGGCCAGCACCTTGGGGCTTCCGGCTGCAAGGGGGCAAGGACTTCAATGTGCCCCTCTCCATCTCTCGGGTAAGCCTAGATTGGAGAGTGCGCTCCCCAAGGGTTCTCGGATACTCTTGTTTCCAGCCAATGGTGGGAAGAAACAACAAGAGTGACCAGACCGATAGGGGGGACTGGGGGAGCCAACAGGACAGCTGTATGGAGGGGAGAAAGGGGAGCTAACAGGACAGCCGTATCCAGGTCCAAATGGACGCTTTATTTCAAGGACTCCCAACTAGGTAGATAGGGGGACGGGGAGCCCCCCCAGCTTCTCTGCTTTGGCATGGTACTTGATGCTATTCCAAGCCCCCTTGGCCATCTGTGAGTGCCAAGGAGAAGCCTGCTTTGCAGTATGGTTAGGTCATGGCTCCAAGAAGTGCCTTAGCTTCAAGAGCAGTGTGTGGTGCCAGGCGCCAGGCAGGGCCTAACTTTAATGTCACTGCTATCCAAGGAATAGCAGTTGTCATCCTGCTTTGCCAAGTGACAGGACTTGGAGGGATGGAGGAGCTTGACCAGCAAGTCCCTGGCAGAGCAAGGCTATGAACCAAGGCACAAAATGGCTTGTCCTTCCTGTAAGTTTAGGACGGGAGCCTCTTGCCAGCTGAGCGAGGACCTGAGTCGAGTGAGGTTCAGGTCTTCAGTCTGCTAGTTCTGGTCAGGCTGTAGTGACCTTTGACCCTGAGCAGAGGTGTAGTGAGGCTGGCCTCCAGGATTCTTGTTCCCATTCCTCAGTCTGCCTTGGCGGGGGTGGGGCTGGGAGCTGACTCCTCCCTGTGGCAGGGGGATTGCCTTATAAGCCCAAGAATGCAGCCCCAGCTGGGATGGCCAACAGTGGCCAGTCAACAGAACCCAAAAGGGTTGGCCTAGGTCTAGGCCCCTTGGCCCCATTGGTGGGCCCCTCACCTGACCATCAGTCATTCGTGTCAGTGGGACTCAAAGCAAACTTTGTGCCAGAGTGGGTGGGGCCAGGGCGCCAGCTTGGTAGCTCTGACTGGCCTAGGGGGTCAAAAAAGGGGCAGGGACTTCCTGCCCTGATATCCTCCCGCCTAGAGAGGCCCACCCAGCCGCGGAGTAGGCATGCAACTGTTGGCAGGAAGCCCAGGGCAAGCCCGGCCTGAAGGGGCCTGAGAACATCCCGGCACTGCTCGGCCTGAGAGGGGCGTGAAGACTGCGTCTCTCTGTGGGAGCCGGACATAGTGGCCAGGGCAGGCAGGCAGAACACAACTGCGTTCTTCCCAGGATCCTTCCCTGGGGCCGTCTCGGAATCCACCCCAGCCAGCAGGGTGACTAAGAGCAGTGGACCCTCCCCCACAGTACATCCTACACATCCTACATCATCTTCCTCCCCTCTGGGAAGGTGCTGGCCACTGTGGTGTGGGTCTTGGTTTCTTCCTTGGTAACGATGGCCTCTCAGATGTCGCCTGTTGGAGGCACTCTGGTTGGTCCCTGGGTTCCTTTGTCAGCAGCCTTAACTTGTGGGTGGGGCCGCCAGCTGAGCCCTGCCCTGGAATGGGTGGGGTGGTCTTTTCTAAATTGGGCCAGCCCGCTATCCCTCCCCTGACCCCAGAGTAGAGGGAGGAAGGAGGGTTAGGACTGGCTGTGGGCCCAGGCCTGGAAAATGAGGTAATGTCTGGGACTTGGGGGTTGGGCGGCTCAGTTGAGCTCCCAGGCTGACTCACCCGCATCCATAACGCTGGCTGTCCAGCCCCCTGGCTTTTTACCTCGTAATCTCACTAGCCACCTTTCCCAGAAGGCCCCATGCTGCCTTCTCACTCTGACCACTGTCTTGCCCCTCACATCCTCCCTGCCCTCACCCCATAAGAGCAGTTCCTCACTCCTCCGCTCCTTTTCAGGGAGTCAGTTTCTCCTCCTCTCAAGACCCCCCCAAACCCGGTCTTACCCCACACCTCTCAGGAAGCAGGCTGCCTGTGGAGGAAGGCGTGGCTAAACCAGGTTTCCATCTCTTGACTCACCATGACAATGAGCAAGTCACTTCCCCCTTACAAGGGACTGATTGGAGTCAGGCAGACCTGAGACCCCAAACTTAGCCAAGGCTTGCAGGGGTCTCTTTCAGACAAGGTCTGGCACTGAACGGTCAGCCCTCCTGCTCAGCTTGCCTGAGTGTTGGCATTGCAGGCCTCTCACCCAGAGTCTTTTTGTTTTTACTTTCTTAAAATTTTAATTCGTCGGTGGTGTCACACGCCTTTAATCCCAGTGCTCAGGAGGCAGAGGCAGGTGGATCTCTGTGAGTTTGGATCCAGTCCAGGAGTGAGTTCCAGGACAGCCATGGCTGTTACATGGGGAAACCCTGTCTCATAAAACCAGAAGACAAAAAAATTTAATTTATCTTGAGACAGGATCTCTCTGTTTGGTCTTGACTGTTGTAGTATTCACTGTGTAGACAGGTTGACCTTGGCCTGCAGAGTGCTGGCATTAAAGGTGGTGTGTGCCACCACCGCTCAGCTCCCCAGAGTCCTTATGGGGAGCTCTCCCTTGTGTGAGATAGTATTTATTCACCCCTCACTTGTGCCTATAGCATGGCGCCCTGTTGTGGAGGACCACATCCTGGCTGCACCAGGCTGGATGACTTGAGTTCCGCCGTTGGCAGTACTGTTTCTTCTGAGTGTGCGCAAGGTGTATCCCCAGACTCTCTGCAAGCACATTGGGAGGTGCTAGGTATCCTCTGAGTTGCTATTCTTACCATTTGTTAGCAAGTAGAGAAAGCTCTCTCCTCTGCTAACCTCCCCGTCAGGCACAAAATAGAACTGCCAAGCCCAGCTCCGCTGTGTCCTAGTGTTTGCAGTCTCTGCATCAGGACCATCCCTAACATCCCCAGAACCTCCTGACTTCCCACTGCATCCGCTCACCTGAGGAGCCTGCTGGCGCCTTTGGCAGGCTGCACCCCACTTTTCCTGCTACCTGTGAGGTGTGAATTAAACCTGCTCTGTGGTGCCAGCCCCTTTGCCAGACGGTTGAGTGGCCCTGTGATTTTTTTTTTTGTTGTTGTTGTTGTTGTTTTTACGAGACAGGGTTTCTCTGTATTGTTTTGGAGGCTATTGGTCCAGCCCGGCCTCGAACTCACAGAGATCCACCTGCCTCTGCCTCCCGAGTGCTGGGATTAAAGGCGTGCGCCCGGCTGGCCCTGTGATTTTAGACCTGTGGGTGACTACTGTGTCTGCAGCCCTTTTTGGGAATTTCTGGTTTGTGTAGCAAATGAGGGAATGTAGTAGGCTTGGTGGGATGGTGCTCACCAACACTGGCTGACTTCTGGTTAAGTGGTGAGCTTTGTTCACCCCCGTCACCCCCAGCCCCCATCCCCCCACCCCCTGCCCCCCCAAAAAAACAAGTATGCGGCCATGGGAGCAAGAGTTCGTTTGTGAAGGCATTCCGTGCATGGGGAAGGAGGGGAGGGGGGTAGTTGCTCAGATAGGAGGTGGGACACTTGTCACCCTGACAGAGGTGACACTAATCCACCCTGTTAGGCCTTTATAGCCCAGTCTTTTTTTTTTTTTTTTTTGGTTTTTCGAGGCAGGATTTCTCTGTGTAGGTTTGACTCTGTAGACCAGGCTGACCTCGAACTCACAGAGATCCGTCTGCCTCTGCCTCCGGATTAAAGGTGTGCGCCACCTACGCCTGACTTGTAGCCCAGTGTTAACAACACAGGTAGGGCAATCTGGTGGGTGAAGTAACCTACAGAGCGGCTGGCAGAGCCCTCCTAGGTTGTGGGCATTAGGCTGAAGGTGGACTGTGAGGGAGTGCCATAGAGGAGAATAGACGACTCTGCAGTGGACAGTAAATCGTGGGTGTGGCCCGTGGGCCCCTGACCACGCCTCTCCACAGCTCACCCCTGGAGGCAAAGCTGCACAGGCTGGCGTGGCCGTAGGAGACTGGGTACTGAGCATCGATGGTGAGAACGCAGGGAGCCTCACACACATCGAGGCCCAGAACAAGATCCGCGCCTGTGGGGAGCGCCTCAGCCTGGGACTCAGCAGGTATGGGGCCGACAGGATGAAGGGGTGAATGAAGGGGTGACGTGGTCTCTGGTGCGGGCCACCTGCCACCATTGCTTTCTCCTCTTCTCCAGAGCCCAGCCTGTTCAGAGCAAACCACAGAAGGTAGGTTGTACGGGAGACAACTAGGCTGAGGGGGGGGCTGGACTTCTGGGTTGACCTGCCCTCCCCGGCCCAGCCTTGGTACCCCTAAGAGCAGAGGGCAGACGACAGAAGGGAACTGAGGGCTGGGAGCTGCCGCACGGTCTGGGCGCCACACGTGCCTGCCTGTTTGTCTGCCGCTTGTCCCCACGAGCCTGTGCTGTGTGCGCCTGCCCGTCCTTGGTCTCCCTTGGCCCAGGGTGGGTTGAGTTCACTGCTTCCAAGTGGGCCCCTTGAAATCGTAGTTACCCCCCACCCTTAGCCACCGGCCAGATGTGTCCGTGGCGCTGGACCTGTCACTGTTCTTGGTGGTGGCGACTCCGCTCCCACCTCAGCCCCCACTCCCACCCACCCTGCCTGGCTCTGTCTCTGCCCAGGCCCTGACCCCTCCCGCCGACCCCCCCGAGGTATACTTTTGCACCAAGCGCCTCCCTCAACAAGACGGCCCGGCCCTTTGGGGCACCCCCACCTACTGACAGCACCCCGCAACAGAATGGGTATGTCAGCCCCTGCCCGCTCACTCCCGCCTACTGCCACACTGTCTAGTCCTCAGCACACACAAGCTGCCGCTACTGCTCAGTCTGTGCCGCACCCCAGCCCCTTAACCGTGTGGCAGCAATCCCTCGCGGCCGGGGAGGCCTGTGGGCGTAGAGCCCGCCTAAGGCTTTGCTCTTGCACAGGCCCTGCGTTCTGGGCAGCCTGGGTTGGGTGTGGCGTTGGGCCAGCCGAGTCTCGGGCAGACAGTGCCACCTTGCCCCTGTCCACTTCTCTGACTCCCCCGCCTTTCTCCTCCCGAGTCTGTCCCTTTACTTGTCTATCTGTCTCATTCCCTTCACAGGTGCAGAGCCCTGACAAGTCAGTGAGCCCCCTCTTCCTGTCACTTTCCCCTTCCTTTGGGCACTTTGGGCGGTAGCCCCTCCCTGCCCTGGCTCCCCTCCTCCCAGCTCTCCTTTACCTACCCTCCTGCCCGGCAGGGCCCTCGCCTCCCCTCTCCCTCCCCTCTCACCTGTCACATCAGATCCTGGGAGGGGCTGCCCCTGGGGCTCTCCAGAACCAGGGCTTCTGAGCCACACCCTTCCCACAGACAGTTGCTCAGACAGCTGCTCCCCGATGCCAGCAAGCAGCGGCTGATGGAGGACACCGAAGACTGGCGGCCAAGGCCAGGGACAGGCCAGTCCCGCTCCTTCCGCATCCTTGCCCACCTCACGGGCACAGAGTTCAGTAAGTGCTGGCCCAGGTCAGGGCGGACTCGCTTGGCCTTAACTGAGGCCTGACCCTGCCTGGACTCGAGGCTGGGGTGACCCCGGTTTCTCTTGGTCAATGCCTGCCTCTGTCCTCTCAGTGCAAGACCCGGATGAGGACTGCATGAAGAAGTCAAGGTAAGAGTGAGCTCGAGGGCTCTGTCCCCTCCCCCAACCCACCACTCTGCTTTCCGGCCACGCCCGCCCGGCCCCTCCTGCCGGAGCACTCTTTTCTCCCTCCTCTCTCCCTCCTTTCCTTCCCTCCATCCCCGCCTCCCTCCGCCTCTCCTTCCTGTCACTTCCTCCTCCTCTCTCTCTGCCCCTCAGGGAAAAGTATGTCCTGGAGCTACAGAGCCCACGCTATACACGCCTCCGGGACTGGCACCACCAGCGCTCTGCCCACGTGCTCAACGTGCAGTCATAGCCTGGCCCTTCCAGCCTGCTGCCCTCTGCTTTCCTTTCTCTGTCGCTCCCTCCCAGGGCACCCACGGGTGCCTCCAGCTTATGCCTACTGCTCTCGTGTCCCTGCCTGAGCCTCCTGCCGGCCTGGCCCTGGAAGCCCGCCTGGCCCAGGGCCTGGCCTCATCTGACACTGCCTTCCTTCTTGGGCCTGTGGTCCCACTGTCTGCCAGGTCTGCACTGCCTTGAGCATGGAAATAAACGTTCTCAGCCTTGCTTCCTCTGCCTCCGTCTTCTATCTTGTTGGGTTGGGTTATGTTTTGAGTACGGGGCGTTAAGTGGCTTAGACCGGGTGCGGGCCCTGCAGTCTGCTTCTCGGTGGGAGGGGCACCTAACAAAGATGGCTGTGCCTTACCTTGGTTCTCCTGTAAGCGAGGAGACCCAAAGGCCGCTGTAGGAACAGGAGACCCACCCGCTTCCACAGTCTACACAGCAGACCGCATAGCTCTAACCTACTTAGGGGAAGCGTCCCTTCCTACCTGCACTCCAGAGGGACCTGGGACCCATCCCAGCCGCTCTCATGCACTTAAGATTCTCCTATGGGGCCAGCACAGCTGAGGCGGGGGTAGGACCACGCCCCAGCCTCAGCCAGGCAGGGCCTTCAATGGCCGATCTTGCAGCCAGGTGTCCAGGACAGAAGCCCCAGCCCCAGCCCCAGCCTCAACTATACCCCAGGAACCCTGGCCTGGTAAGAAGTGGACTTGGGTCTGAAGAGGGGTGGGGAGCCGCCATGGTCACGGGGTGGTGGCCTTTGGAGGCCACCCTGGGCTCTACCCTCAGCACTCTGGGCTCCCTGAGTGCCCCTCTGGATCTACTTTCCTTGGCTGTCAGGCCCCACTACCCCCAGCCCCACCAGCCGCCCACCCTGGGCCGTGGACCCTGCATTTGCTGAGCGCTATGCCCCAGACAAAACCAGCACGGTGCTGACCCGGCATAGCCAGCCAGCCACACCCACGCCTCTGCAGAACCGCACCTCCATAGTGCAGGCCGCAGCTGGAGGGGGCACAGGAGGGGGCAGCAGCAATGGCAAGACTCCCGTGTGCCACCAGTGCCACAAGATCATCCGGTGAGCGCTCCCTTCTAACCCTGTCTTTCTGCCCTGCAGCCTGGCCTTGGCCCGATTGTCTTCCTGCAGGGAGGGATCTTGTCTGGAAACCTTGGGTGTTTTAAGTTTTAGTTTACTTCTTGTGTGTGGGTGTTTGGCCTGTGTGTGTGTGTGCACCGCTTGTGTGCCTGGTGCCCACAGAAACCTTTAGAAAAGGGTGCTGGATGTCCCCGGGACCTGATGAAGTTGTAGATGGCGGTGAGCCTTCAGGTGGACGCTGGGACTCAAACCTGGGTCCTCTGGAAGAGCGGCCGAGCTCTCACTTGCCGGCCGCCTCAGCAGGTTCTTACACTTCCTGCCACTCGCACACCAGCCTGTAGCAGTGAGGTGCCGGCAGCTGTGTCTCTCACTCTGCTGCTTCTGCCACACGCCTGGTCTCTGCTAACCCACTCCTCTCAGGGCCAGTAGGCCACAGTTACCTCCCTCTGAACACTGCTCCCTGGATCCCAGCCAAGTCACACAGCCCTTCAGAGCCAGATTCTAGAACCTTCCTAGCTGGCCCTGGTGGGCTGCTCTCGTCTCCCATCAGCTCTTAGGCGGAGGATTTGTAAAAAGCATCCTGTCCTGACACCCCCGTTTATCCAGGACCTCCTGCAGGCCCCCTGCTCAGGCCAGGTGGGACTGGGAAGCAGGACAGGGTGTTCACCGGGGTCAGCTGAAGTTTCACCCCCACACTGGGCAATAGCCCCCCCAGGAGTGTCTCGGTTGTCTCAGACCATCGATTCCCTCCCAAGCCAGGGCACCAAAACTGCAGCAGTCACCAAGAGAGTATACAAGGGTTCCCTTCCCGTTTTCTCCCTCTTGATGCAGGATCTTGGAGAAACCTCTCCGGTCTCCCTCCTCGGGAGCCTGCCTCATTTGCATACACCCCTTCTCTCTGCAGGGGCCGCTACCTGGTAGCGCTGGGCCATGCATACCACCCTGAAGAATTTGTGTGCAGCCAGTGTGGGAAGGTCCTGGAGGAGGGTGGCTTCTTCGAGGAGAAGGGGGCTATCTTTTGCCCCTCCTGCTATGACGTGCGCTACGCACCCAGCTGTGCCAAATGCAAGAAGAAGATCACTGGAGTGAGTGGGGCTGGCAGGGGGCGGGGAGGGGGGCAGGCAGCAGTGTAAATGTTGAGCCCACCCATTGGCATTGTTCAGTAGTGTGCAGCAGCTGCCAGATGTGAGCTCTCGGCCTGAATCTCCAGGATCCTAGAGAGCCTAAGAGCTCAGAATATAGTTCCAGGGATGGAGGATGGAGGAGGACTTGCATAGCATGTGCAAGGGTCCCGCTCTGTGTACAAGCAGCCTCGTCAGGCATGGTGGCGTTTAATCCCAGCTCTTGGAAAGCAGAGGCAAGAGGATCATAACAGGCCATCCCGGGTTACGCAGTGAGACTCTGTCTGAAGAAGGCAAAATGGCATCACTTATACCAACCAGGGTACTCTTTGTTTGAAACAGGGTTGCTCTGTGTAGCCCTAGCCGTCCTGGAACTTGCTCTGTAGACCAGGCTGGCCTTAAACCCAGATGTGCCTGCCTCTGCCTCCTAAGTGCTGGGACTAAAGTTGTGCGCTGCCACCACCACCCAGCTAGCCAGGATACTCTTTAAAGACCAGCCTTTTCTTTAAAAAGAAATTTTCGTGTGTATTTAATGTGTGTTGAGCGTTTTGCCTATATCTGTATATGTGCCCCAGTCACACCCAGTGCTCTTAGAGGTCAAAAAGCTGGTGTCCTCTGAACTTGGAGTTACAGATGGTTGTGACCTACCATGTGAGTGCTGTAAATCGAACCAGGGTCCTCCACAAAAGCGACACGTGCTCTTAACCACTGAGCCACCTCTCCAACCTAAAAGATCAAATTCCATTGGGGGAAGCAAAAGCTGGGTAGTGGTGGTAGTGGCCTTTAATCCCAGCACTCAGGAGTCAGAGGCAAGTGGATCTCTGAGTTCGAGGCCAGCCTGGTCTACAGAGCAAGTTCCAGGACAGACAGACAGCTACACAGAGAAACCCTGCCTTGGGTGGCATGGGGGGGGGGTGGAGGGGTTGAATCTGCTCTGGTAGCTGGGGGCACTGATATCAGGCCCAGCCAAGTCTCAGCTCTGTAGTCTCCCAAGTTTGCTTCTGTTTTTACTTTTGTTGGTTTCATTCATTCCCAGCATGCTTTTCTCTGGAGAAAGACAGAAACATGCCATAGTGCCTCCAAGGTTCCATTTTACCAGGCTAGCTCCATAATGGAGAGAATATGTCAGTCCCTGATGCCTGGAAGCTCTGATGCTGACTTAGTTTGAGAGATAGTCATCTCTGGAAAGTTCTGATTGATTGGGGCTGGAGCCTGCCCACCCCAGTAACTGTCCACATTCACTGGTGGCTTGGAGCTCCGTCTGAACCATGGTGACTGAGGGATGGCTGGTGCCGTGAAATAAATTCAGGCTCATGTACCCTAAGAAGGGAAATGGTCAAGACAGCTGCTGCAGCAGCTGGGAAAGTATTTGACTGCAGTGACAGAAAAGACCATTGCCCTGCTCAAAGTGGGGTTGTTTATGCCAGTGAAAAGAATTCCTGGGCTAGAATGGTTCTCAGGGGTGCCTGATGCCATATAATGCTGCTAGTTGGCTGCTGCAGCCCAGGCAGGAGAGAGACAGACAAATCGCATTCTTCTAGTAGAGTGTGTGGGGATCAAACTTAGGGCCTTGCGTGTAAAGTTTTGCATTTGAATCCAAAAGCTACAAACTGGCTTCCACTATTGGCTAGAAATGCCATATGTCCACCTCGGGCTGCATGGGAAATGGGAAACCCAATGTGCTTGTCGCCCTGGCTGGCCATGGCCGGGGGCAGGGTTCCAGGACCCCACAGGCGCTGGTGCTCGAATCCCTTACATAGAATGGCATCAGCCACATGTATCCAGTGCAGTTCCTCCTCTGTGCTTCAGCCCGTTTATAATTCCCCCAATAAAACACAAATGCAAAATAGAAAGTTGTCACACTGTTTAGGGAATAATGACAAGAACAAGAAGTACGGGGGCTGGAGAGATGGCTCAGAGGTTAAGAGCACTGACTGCTCTTCCAGAGGTCCTGAGTTCAATTCCCAGCAACCACATGGTGACTCACAACCATCTACAATTCAATCTGGAGCCCTCTTCTGGCAGAACACCGTATGTGTAATAAGTAAATCTTAAAAAAAAAAAAAAGAACAAGAAGTACATCTAGCCGGTGGTGGTGGCACACGCCTTTAATCCCAGCACTCAGGAGAAAGGGGCAGGTGGATCTCTGTGAGCACAAGGCCAGCCTGGTCTACAGAGAGAGTTCCAGGACAGCCAGGGCCACACAGAGAGACCCTGTCTTGAAAAAAAAAATGGCATCTGTCAGGTTCAGGCCCAGGTATTTTCCCAAGTATTGTTTTAAAGCCACGGATGCTGGACCTGAGGACCCCGAGGGCTGCTTGTACTATAGCTCTCCAGCCTAGGTTGCAGCTGCCGGTAGAAGTAAAGGGAGTATAAAAACCATGAGCAGCCAGCCTAGCGCCTACCGCCCCTAACGTACAAAGCTGGGGGCTGGAAGGTAACTAGACAGTACCCTGGGTGGCGAAGGCAGACATTCAAACGAAAACATCTGATGCAGACCCTGCTCCTCCCTCAAAGGCTAAACGCAAGAGCATAACCCAAACAGGTTTTCTCTGCGCAAACCTGGCTACCGTCAGAACTGGGCTTGAGGCTTCATTGGTGTGTGTAACAGGAGTTCAGACCTGGTAGGCAGGTCTAGCCTGTGACTCAAAGGGAGCCCGCTCACTGGGGAAGAGGCACCTGCAGGTGACACAGGCTCGAGGCAGGAGCGGGCACCTGGCATGGTCGTCGTCAAATGGCATCACCATCGCCAGGGTAGGGGCTGTTAGCGGGCACCTGGCATGGCCTAGGCGTGCACTGAGGACTCTGCTGTTAAGTCCGGTTGTGTACAGTGTACAGGGCCCCTCATTCGTGCTCAGCCCTCCCGGCTCCGTGTTTGCCGGTGAGCTCTGGCCCTTTACCACAGCGCCTCCAGGTACTCCTAGTGTCCTTTCACCACGCCCTTCTCTCAGCTTCCTCGGGAACCTCCCCACCCCCTCTTTTCTAAGGTTCAATTGTGTGTGCAGTTGTGAATGAGCGCACGTGTCCGTGGAAGCAGATGAGTGTGTCAGCCCCTGGAGCTGCAGTTACAGGTTGCCCAAAATGGGCGCTGGAAACCAAACTTGGGGTCCCCTTCGAGAGACTACATCCATATCTTCAGTCCCAGGAGTACCTTTCTCATTCATTCATTCATTCGAGTTGAGACAGGGTTTCTTTGTAATGCTGGCTGTCCTGGAACTCACTCTGTAGACCAGGCTGGCCTTGAACTCAAGAGATCCACCTGCCTCTGCCCCCTGAGTGCTGGGATTAAAAGGCGTGCGCCATCACTGCCCCCCCATGTCCACTCTTCCCATCAGACCTCCGTCTCCCGTCTTGCTTCCCTGAGCCAAGGTTGGAGTTGTTTGATGTAGGTGCTGTGCCCCCTTGTAGAAGTTGGTCAGTAAACACTGAACACGTGGGCAGAAGTGGCCGTAAGAGGAAGATAAGCACAGGTGGGAATTCCCTCAGAGAAGGCTGCAAGAGGAGGGGCTTGTGTCACAGGAAGCACTTCAGAAAGGGGAGGAGTTTGGAGCTGGAGGCAGGTCAGATGAGCTTCAGAAAGCTATTGGGGTGGGGGAACGGGGGCTTATACTGGGATATTAGGGAGCTAGGCAGAGCGATTGCTAGTCAGTGTAGCTTTGATACAGTGCAGGTGTAGAGTCATCCCAGAGCTTTTATTTCTGAGTCAGTCAGCGTCATTTATAAGTTTGGGTTAGGTATAGTTCAGTGGTAGAATACTTGCCTAGCACATGAGGTCCTCGATTTTGTCTGCGGCACCATGGAAAGCAAAGAGTTTCAAGTCATTCTCAGTGAACCACTCAGAACCAACACTTGAATCAGTCCAAGTAATCCCCAGGGGACACAGGCCCGTTGAATGCCCCATCTGGCCCTTACAAGAACCTAGCTAGGTCCCTGGCTGCAAACCTGGGGCTCTTTTCTAGACAGTCCAACAAGACTGGGTTCAGGCACTCAGTTCCCCACGACTACAAGAGGATAAAGCTGTTGGCAGGTACCAGGCCTCTGGCCGTGGTGCACTGAACAGTTCCAGGAATGGCCAGTCCGACCCTGGGGAGAGCTCATCCCCTGGGGCCAAGTCCACTGAGGACCCACAGTGAGTTAGGCACTGTTGGAATAGATGCATTCGCACCGTCCATGCAGGAAGAGACGTGAGCAGCCGATAGAACAAGCACTCTCTGGAAGGATGTTCGTGAAGTGCCGGTTACAGGACAGTAGGGGGAGGGGCCCCGCCAGCGTGCTTGGTGTAGGAGAGGTAGCTTGGCGTGTTCGCTGGTGTCAGAGTGTGCCCTGTGGAGAGAGTGACAGTTACGCAGAAACCTAAGTCAGAGATGGGGAGACGGGAGGTGGAGAGGACCCATCTGGGCAGAATGGCTGGGATGCAGCCCCAGCATGGTGAGCTTGGTGTGCCAGTGACAGGTCAAACATTGGTGTGGCAGGATCAACTCGTGAGGGAGGGGAGGGAACAGGCCAGGCCTGTCTGCCGGATCCTGCACTGAACTTGGCTTTTTGTTTTGTTTTTGTTTTTTGGAGACAGGGTTTCTCTGTATTGTTTTGGAGGCTGTCCTGGAACTCACTCTGTAGACCAGGCTGGCTTCGAACTCACAGAGATCCACCTGCCTCTGCCTCCCGAGTGCTGGGATTAAAGGCGTGTACCACCAATGCCCGGCTGAATTTGGCTTTTTGCTTTGTTTTCAAGACAGGTATCTCTGTCTTTGGAGCCTGTCCTGGAACTAGCTCTTGTAGGCCAGGCTGGCCTCCAACTCACAGAGATCCGCCTGCCTCTGCCTCCCGAGTGCTGGGACTAAAGGCGTGAGCCACCACCACCCGGCGATCTAACTTAGCTTTTTAAAAGACTGGATCTTAATCGGTTGAGCAGGCTGTTTGAATGCTGTACCCAGCAGGCCTTTTAACTTTCACCATGCTGGGCACGTCTGGAAGGTGAACCCTTCAGTACTCAACTAATGAGAGATATGAGAGAAAGGGAATTTTGAGTCTGACATGGTGGCACACACCTGAAAACCCAGTCCTCAGAAGATAGAGACAGAGAGCATCAGAAGTTCAAGCCAGCAGGGTTACGTGAGATGACCAAAAAAAAAAAAAAAAAAGGGAGTTGGATTTGGGGGCTTGGCCTGAACAGATGGAGAGGTTGACCGGGAGGAGCAGGTTTAGGATACAAAGTCTGAGAACCGTTGAGACATGCCAGTCTGAGAGTTGTCCGTGGTGCTCCGGGAGCTGCACGTATGTAAAATGTATGTTTTCAGCAGTGGGAGGGCTGGCCTGCCGGTGCTCTGGGGGATGGGCTGAGCCTGCCGTGGCCTCTTCCAGGAGATCATGCATGCCCTGAAGATGACCTGGCATGTGCACTGCTTCACCTGTGCTGCCTGCAAAGCGCCTATCCGCAACAGAGCCTTTTATATGGAGGACGGGGCGCCCTACTGTGAGCGAGGTACCCGGTGGCCTGGAGAAGACGGGGCGGGGTGGGGGCGGGGCAGGTGTGGCTGCAGACCCTCTTTTCTGTCCCGGTACCAGACTATGAGAAGATGTTTGGCACCAAATGTCGAGGCTGTGACTTCAAGATCGATGCCGGAGACCGCTTCTTGGAAGCTCTGGGCTTCAGCTGGCATGACACATGCTTTGTTTGTGCGGTAAGCACGCGGCCCCCTCCCTCCCCCCCGTGTGTGTTTGCCTCCTGTCCCTCAACACCCCGTGCCCATGAGGGATGTAGGAGAGGTGGGGTGAGGGCCTCCCCACTCCCCCAGCCTCGTGTGACTGGACCTCCGTTGTCCCCAGATATGTCAGATCAACTTGGAAGGAAAGACCTTCTACTCTAAGAAGGACAAGCCCCTTTGCAAGAGCCACGCCTTCTCTCACGTATGAGCACCTCCCCACGCTGTTGCCGCCCCACCCTGCCCGAAGCGGGAGGAGTCAGGAGGGCTCACCCTCCACAGTTCTGGGTGGGGCTGGCAGTAGCTGTCCCGCCCCCGAGTCCTAGCCGGATCCCGGGGTTCCCTGAATCCTGTTTCACCTTCACAACCCCCTCGCTTACTTACTTCCCTCCACCATCACTCACTGGTGCTGGCCGTCCGCGGCCCCTGTTCATGCCACAATAAACCTGTATCCACCTGCGTGCTGCGTGCCTCTCCACTGTGCGTCTGCGACCCTGGGACTTGATGCAGAAGGAAGGAGGCAGGGGTTAAGGCAGTTCCTGGAGGGGAGCGGGGGAGGGGGGCGGTGGTGGCGTTGGCAGCAGCAGCGCATGCCTTTAATCCCAGCACTCGGGAGGCAGAGGCAGGTGGATCTCTGTGAGTTCGAGGCCAGCCTGGTCTCCAGAGCGAGTTCCAGGACAGCCTCCAAAGCTACACACACAAACAAACAAAAAAGAGTTGAAGACAAGTCTTGGAGCTGAGCCTCTTAGTAACCATCATGGGATGTGGCAGGCGCATGATCCCTGGGAAGAACAGTGTGGGTCCCGTGTGCTGCGCCCGGTGGGCGAGGGGCGTGCAAATGCTGGACGTGGACGACAGCGACTGCTGGACAGGGCAGCCCAAGTGCCAGGTTCCCCCTTGGCGGGGCCCTGATATGGCAGGTTCCTGGGAAGGCAGTGATGGAAACGGGACCGTGACAAGCCCCAGGGACCCCTGGACAGTGTTGCTAGGTATCTAGCGTGTAGCAGAGGCTGCGTGCTCGTCGTGTGACCTTCCTCCCACCTTGCCAGGTGCCTGCAATTCCTTTTCTTTTTTAATCGTTTATTTTTATTTTATGTACACTGGTGTTTTGCCTGCATGGTGTCAGGTCCCCTAGAACTGGAGCTATAGACAGCTGTGAGCTGACAATGTGGGTGCTGGGAATTGAACCAGGTCCTCTGGAAGAGCAGCCAGTGCTCTTAACCTCTGAGTCATCTCCCAGCCTGCATTTCTGTTCTTCTCTTCCCTCCCTCCCTCCCTCCCTCCCTCCCTCCCTCCCTCTCTCTTTCTTTCCTTCTTTCTTTCTCAAGGCAGGGTTTCTTGTTTAGCCCTGGCTGTCCTGGAACTCACTTTGTAGACCAGGCTGGCATTGAACTCCATATCTGCCCGCTTTTGCCTCCCAAGTGCTGGAATTAAAAACAAAAAAATCCTCCTGCCTCTGCCTCTGGAGTACTGACATTAAAGGTTTGTGCCACCATGCCCAGCCTTGTTTGTTTTTTTTTTGTTTGTTTGTTTGTTTGGTTGGTTTTGGTTTTTCCAGACAGGGTTTCTCTGGGGCTTTGGAGGCTGTCCTGGAACTAGCGCTTGTAGACCAGGCTGGTCTCGAACTCACAGAGATTCGCCTACCTCTGCCTCCCTAGTGCTGGGATTAAAGGCATGGGCCACCAACGCCAGGCTTCTTGTTTGTTTTTTGAAACAGGTTGTTTTTCTGTACCCCAGGCTGACCTGGCACTCACTGTCACCTGGCCAACTTAAATTTGAAGTGGTTCTCCTGTCTTAGCCTGGCCAATACAGAGGTTGCAGTAGGAGGTGTCTATCATACCCTGGGACTCTTGGTTACCTTTTCTTTTTTAAAATTTTTTTGTTTGGTTGGTTTTGTTTTTGAAACAAAGTTCAATGTATCCTAAGGCTGGCCATGAACTCACTATATAACCCAGGGAAAATCTTGAACTTCAGATTCCCCTGTCTCTAGAGTTCTGGGTTAACACTTAGTTTTATGGAATGCTGGGAATTGAACCCAGGATGTGTATGGGTGTATTACCTATATAGATGTATGTACACCACGTTCATGCCTGGTGCCTGTGGATTCTCTGGAACTGGGCTTACAGATGATTGTGAGCCACCATGTGGGTGCTGGGAATTGAACCCGGGTCTTCTGGAAGATCAGGCAGTGCTCTCAACCACTGAGCCATCATCCCTGCTGTGTTTAATGGGTTTGGTGAATTTCATTAGAGGCACATCATTTCCTAGGGGTCCCTACTTCCCATGATGCCCTCTACCAGCCTAGAGGAACTGTCTTCTCTCAAGCCTGAGCAGGTGAGGAGCTGAAGAGGCTGCAGGTCGGAACAGCCTAGTCCATCCTGGCCATGTGCTCTTTGGAGGTCCCTGTCTTCGTTCAACCTGATCCCCTTTATGGGGAAAAAAAAGTCTCAGCGGGCTGCTCTTGGCTATCCTGCAGAGCCTAGAACATCTGGGACATAGGGAGAGTAAATGTTTGCTTAATGGATGAAGTGTTGCGGATGTTTAGGAGACAGATCGAGGAAGCAGCTGGAGATTCAAGCCTAGATTCCCCTTAGCTTCAACTCAGGAGTGAACTTGGGCCAGGGCAGGGCACTCAGTATAAATGCTTGTAATTACGCCTGGGGAGAGCTGAGGCACAGGCCCCAGCAGGTAACTCCGGGAGTAGAGCAGGTAGGATGTGTCTGTCTTTCAACATAGATACACGGAGCCTATCAAATGCAGCATCTTGTAGTTCACAGAGAAATGTACTCTCCTGCTTCTCTTGAACTGTGAAGCCCTCTCAGTCCATCCCAGTTTCCATGGATACCAAAGAGCACTAGCACAGACAAGGTGGGTGGCAGTTGCTGCCAGCCCTTCTAGGGGTAACCACCCCTTGTCCTGAACACAGGACTGCCATGTCCTCCAGGCTGTGAAGCCAAATCTGCCAGATCAGCAACCATGTGTGCAGGTTCATGTGTTTTGTGTGAGAGCTGGTTTTTAGTATTGGCAGCTGCATCTTAATTTTTTATCCTGTTTTAAAAATAATAAATGCATGCCAAAGCGAGTGCAGGGGTAGCTAGGGACTCAGTGCAGAAAACTGACAAGGGACCCGGAACAGTAACAGAGCTGGTCACAGAAGGCAGAGGGAGCCGCCGGGGACAGCATGACAGCCTGCGGGGCACTCCTGCAGGACCTCCACACAGGCCAAGAGCATTCCCAGAAGTTGCCAACAATGTCAACCAGGCAGATAAGGCCCAGGAGTCCCCATGGTATTTCAAAGCAAGGTGACATTTGCCAGATCAGTTTAGAGAAGCTGGGCCACTGCCAGAATTGAAGAGGAACAGGTGTATGTGTGGAGAGCGTGCAGACAGCTCTTAAGAGGCTGGCGGGGGTGGGGGGGTGGGGGGGTGGGGGGGTGTGTGTGACCGGACAATGGACGACAGGAGGACAAGAGGCCCTGTCAGCTGAGCACTAGGCACGGGTAGGGAGCAGGGAGGTGGCAGCCACAGGCTGTGATTGAAGACAGAGCTAGAGGGCTCAGGAGGGCCCGAGGAGAGCCGCTGAGGGCTGCGTCTGGGGAAAGCCGGAGTAAAGGGGAGAGCTGCCGGGTACCAGTTCAGATCCTGGGCACTATAAAGCAAGTGTTAAGCTCCTCCATCACCTGCTATGATGGTTCAAGCCAGGCATGGTGGGTGGCATAGGCCTGTAATCCCAGCACTCTGGGAGACTGAGGCAGGAGGAGGGTGGGAATTCAATGGCAGACCAGAGCTGCTTGTTAAGACCGTCTTTAAAAACTAAGAAACCTAGGCTCAGAGAGGCAAAGGTGACATACACAGAGCTACCCATCGGGAATGACCAGAAATTGCTGTTCTGTGGACTAGAGGTGCAGGGACTCCCCACCACACTCCGGTACCTCTCCCTACCCTTTCACAGCGCCCCCCCCCATCCAGGGCTGCTAAGACCCCCCTGTTCCCAAGCTGAAGTGTAAGGCTGTGGGCCTGGAGCCTATACTTGGAAATGAATGTCGTTATGCCAGGCGGGAGAGGCCATTAGCTCCCTTGGAGAGAGTGCAGTATCCCCAGCCAACAAGGGCAATGTCCTTCCTAGGGGTCCGCGTGGGCAGCGGGCGGGGGAGGGGCTTTCCCCTGCTCTGAGCAACTGGAACTCATTTGCAGTCAGCAGGGAGGGGTGGCGGAGGGCGAGGGACTGTTCTCCAGAACGGATGCTTCTGTGCTGCCTCTTCAGGGCTCAGCCCCACATGGCCTGGGTACACACAGAAGGTACACACCCGCCTCTCCAAGCCCTGCTGCAGGAAAGGAATGGAGGCGTCGGCTAAAGAGCCTGGTGGCTGCCCACCCAGGGAGCAGTACACAGAGATCCACAGCCGTTGAGAATACTGGAAGGGCCCCTTCCCAGTGCGAAGAGAGGCTTAGTCTAGATTCCAGGGCCATCAGAGTGGGACGACATGCTTCGCCAGCTCGGGGCCAGGAGAGAACCAAGGGCTTTTGCTCAGTCAGTAGGTCAACTCAGGTTTCAGCCACATCCCTGGCCGCCAAAAAGGATGACCAGCACTTAAGGGACCATGTAGATGAGGGAGGGTTATCGCTGAGATTCAAACTCCTTTAAGGGGAAGTAAAAAAATGGAGATGATTTTCCAGAACTAGTTGGTGGCTTCAGCAGTGGCTGATGCTTGATACAGGCGATGGTGGCTTCCTCTTTTTCCCTCGGCTCTGCCTCCTCATGGGATCTGTCACCGAGCATGCCCTGTTCTGGCCTCAGAAGCATCCTTGAGCTGGCATGGGCCACAGGTCCGGTCCACCTAGATTACAGGTACAGGAAGGATCAAAGGAAAAGCAGAACCCTGAGGAGACTGGAGCTCAGATAGCCAGCACTGCAGCCCTCCATGCTCCTTGACTGTCCCCAGACCTCTCAACCTAGCTTCTGGAACTGCTAACCAAATTTTAGGGTGTTTAGTCCATGACCAAGGAAAGTCCTATGCTGGGGTGTGTGTGTGTGTTTTGTGTCCATGTGTTTGTGATATGCTGAAATAACATGGACTTTGCCACTGAACTGTGTCCCTCTGGGTGAGTCATTGCCCCAGCAGCCAACACACTGACAGCTTCTGCTGTGTGTATTTGCTCTTCAAGCACATCCTAGATACTTCTGAAAAAAAAAATCAACTACCACAGCAGACATCCATCTGATCCTAGCTACATGAGAGGCTGAGGCAGGGGGATCACAAATTCAAAGCTTGCCTGGGCTACAGAGTGAGTTTCAGGCCAGTTTGGGCAACTTAGTGAGACCTTGTCTTGAAATAAAAATGTTTCTAAAGATATAGCTCAGATCAGGTTACCTGTCAGCAAATCTGTGGGACTTTTTCTAGATTAGTAATGGATGTGGGAGGACCCCGCCCGCTGAAGGGGGTGCCACCCCTTGGGAGGTGGTCCTGGTTTGATGAAGAAAGCCAGAGTCAGGGAGAGCAATCTGGTAAGCAGCACGCCTCCATGGCCGCCTCTTCAGTTCCAGCCTCCTGGTCTCTGCTCTGACTTGCCCCCCAAGACGGACTCCAACCGTGAGATGAAATAAACCCTCTCCTCCCCAAGTTGTTCTGGGTCGTGGCATTTTATCACAGCAACAGAAAGCAAACTACACCACCTCCAGTGCTGGGGGAGGCGGTAATCATACGGAAGCCAGGCACACTGGCGATCTCTGACAAGATGGGAACTTGAGATACAGAGTCTGTCTCAAAACAAACCACACACAGGCACTCCAAATCTGCCTAAGGCCACGCCGATGGCAGAGCGCAGCTGGGTGAGGACACTGGTGGTGTGAGCAGAGCTAATGTGCTGGGCCCAGTGCCAGGGCGGATGCCCAGGAAGTGCTGGGCTTCATAGTGATGAGGGGGCACTTTTGAAGGTGCACTAGGTAGGATCTCAAGGGGCAGGGTGAGGCCAGGGAAGGTTCTGCCAGCTAATGCTGGAATTCCTTCAGCCTGCGTGTCCCTGCAGGATTGAAACCTCTGGGTGGGGGGGAGACTGCCAGGAGGACAGGAGGAAGGGAAGGGGGTTCCCATGTTGCTACCCAGGCTCCTTCGTCCTCCAGACAATGTCTCAAAAGGAAACCCAAAAGAGGGAAGCAGGCCACCCAAAAGTGCACAGCAAGGAGCAGGTTCCTGAGTCTGAATCCTATCTCTTCTTTTCCACTCTAGGGACCCAAAAGCCTTGGGACCAGCCTCCGGTGTGTGTGTGGAGCTCTGGGGGTGGGAGAAGCCGACATGTCAGATTTGAAGGGTGATCAGATTTGAAGGGTGTGGTTTTCAGGGGCAGTGAGCTGGCTGCAAGGAGGCAGGGTCTCCGGGTACAGGGGCCATCCTCTCTCCGATACAGATACAGTTGGATACAGTGGCCATCCTCTCTTGGATACAGTCAGATACAGCGGCCATCCTCTCTCGGATACAGTGGCCATATTCTCTCCGATATAGTGGCCATCCTCTCTCTGGTACAGACAAGGAAACAGCTACAATAGCGCCACTGGATTTCGTAATTTAAAATAATGACCTTGGCCACAAAAACACCAAGAGACTTGGTGGCTAGGGGACGAGGGGGAAACACCATGGCTTATAAGCGGTGGGACACTCCCTCTTTTGAAAAGAAGAAAAGCCAGACGTAGGGCTGTAGGATTTATGCACTACTTAAGCAAATAAGGATCTAACACCAGCTCAGCTGTATCTCCAGTCCTGAGACTGTTTCATTTTGGGGTTTTTGTTTGTTTTTGAGACAGGGTCTCTCTGTGTAGTCTGGCTGACCTAGAGCTTGATATATACACCAGGCTGGTCTCCAACACACAGGGATCCGCCTACCTCTGCCTCTCAAGTGCTAGGGTTAAAGATGTGCACCACCCATGCCTCAGCAATATTTAAAAACAAAACAATCCTGGGGAAAGCGGCTGGGTGGTGGTGGTGTATGTTCTGATCCCAGCATTTGGGAGGCAGAGACAGGTGGATCTCCGTGAGTTGGAGGCCAGCCTGGTCTACAGAGTGAGTTCCAGGACAGCCAGGTGCCAGACTACACACAGAAACCCTGTCTAAAAAGCCAAAATAATGCCGGGCAGTGGTGGTGCACGCCTTTAATCCCAGCACTTGGGAGGCAGAGGCAGTCGGATCTCTGTGAGTTCGAGGTCAGCCTGGTCTACAGAGTGAGTTCCAGGACAGCCTCCAAAGCCACAGAGAAACTCTGCCTCGAAAAACCTAAATAAATAAATAAATAAATAAAAAGCCAAAATAAATAGATAAATGAAAACGGGGGGGGGGGGGGAGGGGAGGGGGGCTAGAGAGATAACCGAGCTGTTAAGAGCTCCCAGAGGTCCAGAGTTCAATTCCCAGCATCCACATGGTGGCTCACAACCATCTATAACAGGCTCTGGTGCCCTTTTCTGGTGTGCAGGTGTACATGCAAAGAGCTCACACATAAAACATGAATGAATAAATAAAAAATTTAAAGGATTTACTTTTTAAAAATGGGGGGTGGGAGAAAAGCCAGCCAGAAGGAAAGGGGGAGCACAGAGGAGAAAAGTGGGGGAGGGGAACAAATGGCGACAAAAGCAATGGCCCATATTGTGATGGACCTGGTACTCCGTGTGCCGACCTAAAGATTAAAACAAAAACGAGAAAGAATTTGGACTTTGTTTATTTTGAGGCAGAGTCTCACAATGTAGGCCTGGCTGGCCTGGAACTCACAGAGATCTGCCTGCCTCTGCCTCCCCCAGTGCTGGCATTAAAGGCATGTGTCGTCATACCCGGCCAAATAAAATATTTTAAAAAGCGAAGCAGAACAAAAGAGGATACAGATGGGAGAGGAAGTAGGTGTGCCCAGAGCCAGTTGGGTAGGCTGGGGAGGGGCTGGGATCTGAGGAAGGAGGTTTCTAGGGTGCCTGTGGGTCTGCTTTTGGGACATGAAATGCACCAAGCAGGAGCCTGGAGAGACAGCACAGCTGAGAAAGTAGGAAGGGCCTGTGGCCAGAGATGCTGCTGCCTGGTCCTGTGCCTGAACCTCTAAGCCTCCCCCCTCCCCGGGAGAGCGCTCTCCACAGGTCTAGTGATACAGCAAACTCAAGCTCTGTCCTTACTCTGTCTCCTCACCCTCTGTTTTCCCGTCATCCCTGTTTCCCTCTGCCATCACCGTTACATTCCACCAGCATCTAGAGCTCAGGGCCCTGGACTGACCACTCCTGGGGCTCACTGTAGGTGTGAGTGGTGGAGAAACTGCCAGGGATGGGGTCATGTGTGTGGTGGGCACCCGGAGCTCCTGAGGCAGGGGGTTGCGAAATGTCGAGTTTTAAATGCAACCCTCCCCTTCGCCCCATTCCAAGCACTGCGGTGAGTTTACATACTGGCTTTGTGGCATGAGATGATTGACCAGATCAGAAGCAGGAGAGGCACTGAAACCACCTCCTCTTCCCAGATGAGGCCCGGTAGAGCTTGGCGAGGCTCTGGGTTCTGGCACCTCCCTGGGGAATGGGCTGGGAGGCTCGATGGTGATGGAAAGGTTTTCTGGAGCTGTGGACTCACCCTGGAGTGTTTGGAAAAGAAGACACGATTTCCTAGATACCCATCCAGGAAGAAGGAAATGACTGGGCTCGGGAGGAATGGCTGAGATGAGGCCATAGGGCAGGGATGCAGGGAGGGGTATGGGTTAGGGAGAGGGATCTGAGCGAGCAGGATTCGGACCGGCTGGAATAGCTAAGAGGGTGCTGCCTAAGCATGGGTCTGTAGCTGGGACAGGATGTGCAGTCGGCCCTGGGTGACCCTGGAAGTGAGGATGGTAGACTAGGAAGGGTTCTTACCGAGGAAGTGGGCTATTGACAACCCAGGCTTGGCTTGATGGGGAACTGAATTGGGTTAGGGACCAGGTAAGGACCAGAATGGGTTTAAAGTCGGGTGGGATGGACCAGAATGGGCTTAATGTGGGGTGGGATGGACCTGGGTTGAGGTAAGGTTCGGCTGGAGTAAAATGAGTCAAGAGGTTCGGTTCAATGGACCAATTATTCTGGGGAGGCACAGAGGGATGAACCTGGGCCTGGGTAGGGCTTGGAATCTTGGTGGGTTTAGAACTGGGGGAGAGGGTGTGCTACTAGGTTGGGGACTAGGACAAGACAGGTGCATGGGACTGGCCCTGGGAGCAGAATGGAAGCTTAAAGTCTGGGTACAGGTCATCAGGGAAAGGGACATGGGGGCGCCCCGGGGCAAGCTGGGAAGGGGGGGGGCGGACCTCCCCCTGGGCCGGGCCAGGGCGGCGCTAGGACCGAGCGAGCCGAGGGAGTGAGCCGGGCGGAGCCAGCGCCCCCCGCCCCCCGCCGGCCGGCTCCCCTCCCCCGGCCGCTGGCTCGCTCGCTCTCAGCGCTGCAGAGGCTCCGAGGCGGCCGCGGCGACTCCCTCATCCCCTCCCTCCGGTGTCGGTCGGTCCGTCCGTGCGTCTGTCCGTTCGGCCTCGGTCCGGCCCGCAGCATGGCCGGCGTCAGCTTCAGCGGCCACCGCCTGGAGCTGCTGGCGGCGTACGAGGAGGTGATCCGGGAGGAAAGCGCGGCCGACTGGTGAGCCCCCCGCCCCCGCCCCCGCCCCCGGCCCCTTTGTCCCCAGGCCGCCACCGCGCCTTTGTTTCTCGGAGGCTCTGCCACCGGGAAGGGAGGGGGATACCCCGAAATGGTGCAACGGCCCGGGAGAGCCGGGGAGGGGCTGCCTTTGTGCGAGCCGGGGGGAGGGGCCGGTCGGGCCAGGCGGGGCGCGCGAGCCGGGGAGCCCTGAGGCCGCCCTAGGCGCAGTGGGGACGCGGGATCCGGACGCCAACCACGCGGATGTGGAGCTCAAAGGTGGGGCCCGGGGTCCTACGGTCCCGCCGGAGCCCATCCCCCTCCCCCCCCAGCCTCCCTCCACGGGCCCGGGGGACAGGTGTGCACGGGCCAGCCAAGGGCACCTTCGCCACCTTCGAGCGGGCGAGGACCGGGTGGGGACGGGGCGGGGACCGAGCTAGCGGAGCAAGAGCAGCCTGCCCGGCCACAGCACAAAGGAAAGCTAGGGCGGGGGAGGAGCGCAGAGGGCCGGGGGCCAGCATGCCCCGCCCACCGGGGGCTTCTCAGGGTTGTCTCCCCCCACATCTAGGTTAGACTGTGATAGAAAGAGGTTCATGGCCACATGGCAACCACGAAGTGACTCCTTTATCCCTCACGGGTCGCAGAGGAAGAGAGGTAGGGCTGAGCCCTTCTCTTCCCCTTCTGGAGGAGGAGATGGCTAGGACTAGGCAGCTAGGCAGGAAGAGACCCAGGAGATGGACCCAAGCAGCTTGTCTGGATGGCCAGCTAGGAGGAAGCACGGTGGGAACCCCCGCTGAGGGAAACCCAGATGAGTAGATCTCTGGGACCCTAGCCTCTTCACTCAGCGCCAAGGGGCTGTCAGCCTCTTATTAGGGTGTTGTGAATGGACCTGAGTCTCTCCCCCTCCCCAGCTGTTATCTTACCTGAGGTGGAGGAGGGCGTAAACCACCCGAGCCCCAGGGTGTCAGGCAAACCGAGGGGTTCGATGCCCCATTCTGAACACAGCCCCCAAGTGTTCTTCTCAGGGGGCAAATCCCTGTTTTGTATTTAGGTCTCTTCACCTCATCAGACAGAAAGTAGGCTCCTCTTGGGAAAGCTGGGGCAGAGTTGGGGCTGCTCTGAGGACCCCAGTTGGGCTGGCCTCACTCTGGGAGGGCAGCCAGGTAGGGGCGCTGGAGGAGGGAACAAAATCGCCAGGCCTCCATGCCATGGTGCTGCAGCACTGGCGGGCAGCCAGGCCGGAGGGATGGACTCGAGAGACAAGTTCTTGTGTCTTGCAGGTCAGTTATAGGAGAGGTTGTTCAGGCCAAGCAGGCAGTTCCCACATTGTTGTCCCAGCCCTGTCCCTGGGGGGCTGAGATCATGAGACGCAATCTGGGCAAGTGGCCTGCTTGGCCTGGAGGAAGAACCCGTTTGGGGATATGGCCCTGCCTGAGGAGAAACACTGACCGGAACCCTGCCTTCTTCTCCAGTCTAGGGGGTGTAGACAACACCCCAAATTTCTTAACCCCTCAGAAGCAAACACTGACAGTGCAATGCTGGGCCTTCCCAAATACTGCTGCCCCACATTCTGCTCAGCGGAGGCCTGGGCTTTCACCACCAGCAACATCCATGTGGCCAAAGGGAGTTAGTTATGCAGCCCTGGCATTCGTCAGCCCCATCTGGGTGGTATGGGACACACAGAAGCACAGATGCACCTTCAAATGCATATATATATATTTGCTTACTCCCAGGGGCCTAAACAGATGTTGTGAACAGGGTGTGAAGATCACACCTTCCAGAAGATGACATGATGTTTCCCAGCTCCCATCACACAGCCGGGGGCTGGGGGAGGTCCCGAGGTTCAGTGCAGACCCTGCATTTAACAGTCCAGTGGGAGGGGCGTCCTGGGTCCAAATGTTGGGGCATGAGTGTGTGGTGTCCTCCTCCTCTACCTTGACTTTGGATGTGGGTGTGGCGGAGCTTAGGGTAGCTGACCCCCAGGTGGCAGGGTCTCTTATGGGGGCCACTGCCCTTGTGCTGGAAGCCGAGCTCTGGGGAAGTCAGACTGCAGCGGGGAAGGCCAGCAGCACCTGGTTATGATCTGATTCATCCCGTGAGAAGTTCCTGCTCTTCTTAAGTATTCTGAGAAAAGGGGGGAGGGGCTGGGCACGGCCCCTCCAGGGTTTCCAGGGCCTTTCCAGTTCTAGAACCCTGAGAGTGTGTTGGTCCTCAGCCTTCCACTCCCGGCAGGCCTGGAGCTGCTGAAGTCACACTCACCTTGCCCTAGTCTTCTTCCTGTGGCTTAGATGCTTGATAAGAGTTTGTGTCAACACCTCAAATCCCTACGGTGCTACTTTGTGCTGGACCCAGGAAGAGACAACAGTTGGTGTCAGCAGAGTTCTGCCTTCACAGAACTGACACGGCAGTGTGTGGCATCACTGTCTCCAGGGTTTAATGTTACTGAGGGGCGGACAGCTACAGCCCCCTCGTCCCCATCTCCTTTTTCCTGCTTGCTTCCCAGCCCGCCAGCCAGTCACCAGGTGCTTGTGGTATGGTAGAGAAACATTGTCCAGCAGGGTCTGGGGCTAAGAACAGATGTCTGTCTGTGTTAGCGCTCTGGGGTGAGAAGCTCAGGCTGACAGTGTCATCCTGAGTGGTCTTCGTGTATCCAAGGGCACAGGGCAGGTCTAGGGTAGAACGTAGTCTTCAGAACTGAACTTGGAAGCCAGTGTGGCCCTAGTGTGAGGATGAGTACAGCGGTCATTTTTGAAACGTGGGCTGAGCAGAACTGAACGATGGAAGGCTGGAACTGAACGTCTGAAGGAGGGCTGTGGCCCTAGCAGGGGAGAGGGGCTGCTTGGAGGTGGGTGGGCAGGATGGAAGGGGCCCTGGAGAGCCTTGAGGAGCAGCCTGTCACAGAGAGGTGTGAAGTCCAGAGCATGTCTTGGAAGAAACCAGGATTCCTGGTGCCGTCTCCGGGCTGCATCTGTGAATAGAGAGGGATACACGCTGTTTCTTTGAGGGCTCTTTGTTCCTGGCCGTGGGTTAGGACAGCCTGACAGGTGGTGGGACAGCTGTGCTGGGAGCAGCTGTCGGGTCAGCGGCTGGGGCAGCAGTTGCACCCAGGGCCCTGAGACCTCCAGCCCACCTGTGTCTCTTTGTGGAGCAAAGCAGGGAGGGGTCCAGGGAAGGGAGGGGCTGCAGGGGCCCACTTGGCCGTCTTAGCGACTAGGGCTGACGACCTCCGGGGATGGGGTCAGACCCTCCCTCTTCCCTTTGCTCCTTTCCCCCTTTTCCTTCTCCACCTCCTCCCTCTTCCTCCATTTTTTTATCTTCTTGTTTCCCCACTTCCCTCCCGTCTCTCATCATCTGTCCTCTTCCTCCTCTTCCCTTGGTCCTCCTCCCTGCTCCTCCCCTTCCTCCATCTCCCTTTTTGTCCTCTTCTCACACACCCCAGCCTCCTGACTTAGCAGACGGGAAATGGGAGTTGAGAGAGGGTCTGAAGCCCTTCTCAGTCTCAGGGACTAAGCTTCTCTTCTCCATGTGTCTCCGGCCTGCGCCTGTGTCAGGATGGGTTCTGGGGGTGGGGAGAATCTCTCCATTACCTTCTATGAAATGGATGCTGTAGGATGCCTGCCGAGGATGAATACGGAGTAGAAAAGGCTAAGAGGGAAGGAAGCCTTCTGGCCAGCCTCAGTCTACATGGCAGTCCTAGGAGGGTTCAGCTAGGGCAGAGGCAGCCTCGGAGTTAGAGGACCAGATCTTAGGGTTAGAACCTGGGAGTGACCACAGTGACCTCATCCCCATCTCAGAGAGGGAGAGAGTGAGTCTGAGGATGTCCCTGGGGTCCTTTGTGTTCGAGGAGAATACAGCTCTGGTGGGCTGGTTTCTGTGCCAATTGCTGGGTTGCTATGGTTACCAGGGGATGCCCAGCATCGAGCACCAGATTCTTCTCCTCCTCCCTCCAAACAGGGGGAGGGGCAGTGGGTACCAAGGCACGCACCAGGTAGATTCCTGGCTCTGGCCAATGAGGGATGAGAATCATGGTCGCCAGGGAACGGTAACCAAGGAACCGTTGCCTTGGAATCTCCATCTCGCACACACCCGCTCCACTGGGTTGTGGGCTGCCAGGGCTAGGGCCGGACGCTGAGCTGACTAGGCAGAGATTTCTCCCCCACTGCTCCCTGACTGCCATCTGACCCAGGTCTCCTCCGGCTCAGCGGAAATGATGCCTGGCCTCGTTGCCACAACGGACTGACAACCAAAGCTTTCCCCCTCCTTGTCCTGCTCTGCCCCGCCCCCCAATCACTCTTCCTCCCTCATGCCTTCTCCACCCAAAATTGGCTGCCTAGGACCTGACAGTTCTGTGAGCCACCCCTCCCTCTCCCCAGGGCTCTGTACACATATGAGGATGGCTCAGATGACCTCAAGCTTGCAGCATCAGGAGGTAAGAATCCCAGCTATTCCTCTCCCTTCCCACCACCTACTCTGCTTGTTTTGTTCCCCTCCCTGGCTACAATCCACCTTCCTGCCTCCGTCCAGCAGACCCACACTTGTCTGATGCTGTCCTTCCTCCTGTCGTCCCTGCATTCCTCAGAGTGTAGAGGGAGGGAGCCTAGTTTTCTGTTTGACTTCTGGAACATCAACATCACACAGCTAGGGAAGGGGTCCAGTAGGGTGGTCCAGCTCAGCACTGCTTTCTCTAGAGCTGGAAGACTTCCTTAAGGAAAGCTCATTTATCTCGCTGGGCACGAGCACCTGGTAAGACATGAGAGGTGTGATCACTGAGAAATGCAGATGTGTGAACAGCCTTTCTTCAGTCTCATCTCAAATCAGGCCCAGGAGGGTTCCGGGGCAAAGCTAGAATCCTGTCCACCCCTTCGCCTCATTACACAGAGATCTGGGCCTCTAACTTACAGAACAGAAATCCCCTGGGGGTTTTAGGCCTTTTGTAGGGTCAAGGGTCTAGGAGACGGAGAGCCCTGACACCTTCCTGGTTTCCCCAGAAGGGGGTTTGCAGGAGCTTTCCGGCCACTTCGAGAACCAGAAAGTGATGTATGGCTTCTGCAGCGTCAAGGACTCCCAGGCGGCCCTGCCAAAATATGTGCTCATCAACTGGGTATGCAGCTGTGGGATGGAGCTGGGATCGGAAGGCCCAGAGTAGTCACATTCCACCCATAGCCTCTGCTGGGGAAAATCCCACTGGTTCTCGGGAAGACAGCCTGGGCCTGGGGGCTGTTGGGCCTGGAGGCCGATGTCTTCTTCCTGTCCTTTGCTGAGCCCCCGTCACTGGGTGCATTGCAGGTTGGTGAAGATGTGCCTGATGCCCGGAAGTGTGCTTGTGCCAGCCATGTGGCTAAGGTGGCTGAATTCTTCCAGGTATGTGGGGACTGGGTACCAAGGGGGCAGGGTGAGGTCTTTATGCTGGGGGTGGTGATGGGAGTTTGGATGCCACCTAAACACTGCTTTTTCCTGGAAGGGTGTTGACGTAATTGTGAATGCCAGCAGTGTGGAAGACATCGACGCTGGTGCCATCGGGCAGCGGCTCTCCAACGGACTGGCCCGGCTCTCCAGCCCAGTATTGCATCGACTGCGGCTTCGAGAGGACGAGAGTGCTGAGCCAGTGGTCAGTGCGTCCCTGGGACAGGCTGGCCTTGCCCAGACATTGTTGTGTGATGTTTTACTCTTTTGACTCTTTGGGGGGACCCACTACCTAGCTCCCAAATAAATCACACACAGAGGTTTATTCTTAGTTAGGAACCCCCAGCCTTAGCTTGGCTTGTTTCTGGCCAGCTTTTCTTAAATTATCCCATCTACCTTTGGCCACAGGGCTTTTATCTTTCTTTATTCCTGTATATCTTTCCTCTCCTTCTTACTCCGTATCTGGCTGTGTAGCTGTGTAGCTGGGTGGCTGGCCCTGGAAGTCCCCCTCCTTCCTTTCTTGTTCCCATGCCCCTCAATCCTTTCTCCCAGATTTCTCCTCATATTTCTCCTCTCTGCCTGCCAGCCAGCCTGTTCCTCTCTCTGCCTTGCTATTAGCCGTTCAGCTCTTTATTAGACCATCGGGTGTTTTAGACAGGAAAAGTAACAGCTTCACAGAGTTACACCAATGCAGCATAAACAAAAGTAACACACTTTAAAATAATATCCCCCAACAAGACATCGCCCTTGTGACATGGTCCCTGCGTTGGGCCTCCGCAGTCTCTCTTAGCCCTTACTCTTCCCGTGTGAGTACTGAAACCGTTCAGCCTGCTCTTGGAGCTCTTATCAGGGCACTTGACTCTGCAGGGCACTACCTACCAGAAGACAGATGCCGCCGTGGAAATGAAGCGGATTAACCGCGAGCAGTTTTGGGAGCAGGCCAAGGTATGCAATGCTGACCCTGAGCCTTCAGGCCCAGGCTTCCATACCTGAGCCTCAGGGCAGCTCTGACCTCTCAGCTGAAAGAGCAAACCCTTTGGTTTCCTGCACACAGGGCTCATTCCCCCCCATTTCCCAGAAGGCCACCTCCCCAGTCTGAGTAGGGGTGGGATGGAGGGGCGAAGGCTGGCCTGGGCTCAGGGCTTGTGCTTCCTGGGTGTGGGGTGCAGAAGGAGGAGGAGCTGAGGAAGGAGGAGGAGCGGAAGAAGGCCTTGGACGCCAGGCTCAGGTTTGAGCAGGAGCGGATGGAGCAGGAGCGGCAGGAGCAGGAGGAACGGGAGCGGCGTTACCGAGAGCGGGAGCAGCAGATCGAGGAGCACAGGTGAGGTCTGGCCCGAGGCAGGGGGCTGCCCACCCCCAGCCCACCCTGAAGGGTGTGATTGCGCCTCTCATTCCAGGAGGAAACAGCAGACTCTGGAAGCCGAAGAGGCCAAGAGGAGGCTAAAGGAACAGTCTATCTTTGTAAGTTATTTTCCAGGGACGTTTATCTCCAGATTGGAAGAGAAAATCCACCTTGACCTAGCCCCTCACTGTCCTGGCTCCCCTTCCCGCTTGGGATCTGGGGGACTTGGGGTATGTTAGTTGTGAGCTCTGTACCGGGGAGGGGGCTTGAGAATTAGGTTACATGATGCTAGTGACTCAGAGGTCCTGAATGAATGCAGGCCAGTGCTTTTCGGGACCACTCACATATGCAGGGGTTCTAGAGAAGCCCCCTGCTTATGCGTGTACCCATTCATAGCAAGGTCTATATTGCGTTTACCCGTTCATAGCAAGGTCTTTGGAAAAAGCTTGTTTTATGGAAATTTCAAAGGGAGCATGCACACACAAAAGTGGACTAGCGTGGTGACTTCTGAACTAGCAGTTACCAACATCCTAAGTGGCTGCGGAACTTTTCCTGTTACCTTGTAGTTCAACCACCGCTTCAAGTTTCCTCACGGGAAAGTAACTATGTAGCAACGCTGTAACTAGCTGTTAGGGTGGTCTTCTGGTTTCAGGTCCTCTAAGGAAGGTCCCATATGAAATTGGAATTTATCACCCCGTACTGTTTTCTTATCTCAGGCCTTCTTGGGAGCTGTTCTGCTTTCCCTTCTGTTAATACGTTTATTTGTTTAGATACACTTATCTTACTTTATGTGTGTGAGTGTAGTGCCTGCAGCCTTCCAAAGACAATGGATCCCCTGGAACTGGAGTTGCAGATGGTAGTGAGCCGCCATGTGGGTGCTGGGAACCAAACCTGGGTCCCTACAGGAGCAGCAAGTGCTCTGAAGCCCTGAGGCACTTCTGCAGCCCCTTGGTCCCCTCTTTGCCTTGGGTTCTAGGAAGTTCTTGTGTGTCAAAATACTTAAGCACAAATGTGCTCTTGACCCATATTGCTGGAGTCTTGCTCTCTGTCCTACCTACAGTGCTTGGTTCAGAGGTCACATTGTTCACAGAGAAAGCCTCGGTGATAAGCTGCTCTGTGTGTGTGCATAGGTGACAGTGTGTGCATACGTGACTGTGTGCATATGTGACAGTGTGTGTGTGCGTGAGTGTGTGTGTGTGCATGTATGCATATGTAAGAGAGTGTGTGTGTGAGAATGTGTGTGTGTCTGTCTGTCTGTCTGTGGTGTGGACAGTGCATTTACCCATGCATTCACTTGCAGAGGCCAGAGATTATCCTCTGATGTCTTTCTCTATTGCTGTCCAGCTTGCTTTTTGAGACAGACTCTCTCTCTGAACCTGGTGCTTACCATTTTGGCTAATCTGTCTGGCCAGCAAGCCCCAGAGATCTGCGTCTGCACCTCCAGTGCTGGCGTTATAGACATGTGCCGCTCTGTGGGCTTAGTATGTGTCTGCTGAGCATCCAAACTTGGACCGTTATGCTTTACCTACGGAGCCTCCTCTGCAGCCTGCCTCTGCTCCTTTCTTTGTTTTTTTTTGTTTTTTTTGTTTTTTTTAACGAGACAGGGTTTCTCTGTTTTGGAGGCTGTCGGTCCAGCCTGGCCTCGAACTCACAGAGATCCGCCTGCCTCTGCCTCCCGAGTGCTGGGATTAAAGGCGTGCGCCACCAACGCCCGGCTTGCTCCTTTCTTTGATTGAGACAAAGTAAAGGAACCTGGTGAAACTACACTAGGCAAGTTTTAGGTTATGTGCTCAAAAGCAAAGAGGGTCTGAGCCAGGATTTGTAGCCTGAGCCTGTAATCCCAACACTAGGAAACCAGTGACACATACCTCTGTGACTGACTGGTCTACATCATGAGTTCTAGGCCAGCCAGTGCTACAAAGTAAGACCCTATTTCAAATATAAGAAAAAAGCTCTGTTCTTCACCTAGCTTTCCCCCTTGCCCAGCAGCCCCTTCTGTCCAGTTTGTCCCTTGAGCAGCAGGAGAGGCGATGTAAGAGGCGTTTGGTTTAGTGAGTTCCATTGAGCAGACAGTCCGCTCTGTGCTGGCCACTCACAAAGACTTGGGGCTTCATCCTGTGTTGCTCACAAAGGTTGAGGGAAGTGACCCCAGAAACAGGAAACACAATGTAGTGCCATCTGTGGTATCTGCTGGGAACTCCCTGTGGGGACCCAGAGAAGGAAATGACCTGAATGAGCCTTGCTCTGGAGGTAGTGTCCAAGCAGAGGCCTTAGAATGGAGAGGCTGAACGAAGGGTGATGGTAGGTCAGGCATTGGG